CCATCTAACATGTAAATAAATAATTGCTAGCCATACTCAATAAGACACAAGAAAAATTATTGCTTACATAACAGAAAAACATCTACTTGATCTCCTTTTATGACTACATTAATCTATTCGGAGGGCATCTATAATCTACATCCACAAAATGTCACCTTGACTTACTTGCCATCGTTTTAAGGCAGAATAAATAGTTCCCCCTTCCCCAGTCTCTAAAAAAAAAAAAACAAAAAAAACACCAACAGCCGGGAGACCTAAATTGTGATGCTTTTTAGTAACTCCGTTGCTTTCTTGACCAGCCGAAACGCATCGCACGGGGCAGGAAACGAACCAGTTCTTGACCGGCGCTTCTTTCTAAACTTCTCCTTGGGCAAGGTCCAGAATCCTTGGGCGTGAAGAAGGTGATGAGGAGGATGAAGACGAACACGTGTCCGTCAGGGTGGGCGGGGCACAGCGTGAGCTGTGGGGACACGCTGGTCCACACCTGGGGCTCGTCACGTCCCGTGCCGTCTGGATTCTACTGGGACGGACTTACTGCTTCTCCTTGCACACCTGCGCTCCGGGCGCTCACGGAGAACTCGCAGGCAAGGGTGAGCAGTGTGGACACCTGAGGACGGACTCACCTCGATGTCTCATATTCCACATGCCTCACATTAAGTCTCCGAACCTAACGCCTGGGGAGAGGCAAGAAACACAGGCCTCGTGGCTGTCATTGACCTGCTGCTCTTTGGAAGATTAAACTTCCGCACAGATTTTGGTAATAACTTTGGAAGTGATGGCTGAAATATTTCCCTCTGGTTTCTTCCTACCCTTGGGCAACGTCCCGGAGTGCAAGTCTAGCTGAGGTCGCAAGGGTTCTCTTTATCTGATGAACCAGCCTATATCAACGGCATAGCGTCCAAGGTACACAGAATCTAATACTAACGGTGCAATAATTTATTGGTATAATTTCTACCTCAACGGGTAAGTAACACAAATGTTTCAGGATTACAGTATATATTATCGGACTAGCGTCTCTGCATTAAAAACAAGTCATAGCTCAGAGACAGAGCTCACCGGGATGCTTAGTTTCTGAACGCATTAAATCTATGCTTCTGTCTTAGAAGACCATGTGTCTCAGATTGGCATGTCTTGCACTTTCTGCAGCTCAATTCTGTAAACAAAGTGTTTAATTCCCAGAAGTTCCAAAACAAAACAGGTTTACTGCATCATTTAGCTCATTCTCAAAGAAAAGAGTAACACTTTTTAAACCGTAAGCCTGTTTGACCGTGCTGTCACCTCTCTGAACTATTCAGGATCAATACAATCCAATATTCTTCTGTATATACCGTGCAAATGCAAAAACAAACGAACAACAACAACAACAAGAATTAAACCCAGGAAGAACGCAACCACTGTGCTACAAAAGAACGGATACCACCTTTTAGATTAGCCTTTCCGACATTAGGTGAATGCTGAGAAGCCCCTGAACTTGGGATCTTGTTAAGCGATGGCCGGGGGCACCATCAGTAGAGAAACGGGGAGTCATCTGGAAGCTCGGAGCTCGTCACAATGCTGTGGGCTGGCCAGCACCTGCGACCGAGAACACAGAGCAGCACTCAACACACCTTGCTTTAGATGTTTTAAAATTTCCCAAATTAGCAATTACCTTTACCGAAGTCTCTTCCTCCTGGAGGGAGGGGAAACTTGTCCCCCCCACCCCGTTACTAAGTGTGGGCCAAGGACAAGCAGATTGACATCACCTGGAGTTTGTCAGCAACGCGGACTCCTGAGCCCGCCCCAGACCCACTTAAAGAGATGCCCCGGGCGAATCTCATCTACCGCAGAGTTTGATCAAATGCTCTGGAACTGCCCCAAACCAAGTAATCGCCATCCATTTCCTACTTTGCCCCCTGGAGTAAACAAGCAAGAAAATCATCTCTTTTCTCTCGGTTTCTTTAGGTTTTGATTTCTCTAAGAATAAATACATTGTAACTGGAGGAATTTGACATAAGATCTAGAGATAGGATGGCTAGATTTAGCAAGTATAGATACAGAACACCCAGCAAAATTTAATTTCAGATAAACACATAACCTTTTAGTGTGAGTACATTCTATGTGATAGTTGGGACACACACGTACTAAAAAAAAAAATTGTTGTTTATCTGAAATTCGAATTTAACTAGGCAAAAAAAATTTCACTGCGTGTCTTGTATTTTATCTGGCAACCCTATCTAGAAAGGACTGTTTGGGTTCCGTATTTTCTTCACAAG